TCGATTTAGAAAAACTTATAAAATTAACTGAAGATGCTGACATGAAGGAAAAAATTGACCAAGTTAAAGATTTAGATAGCCAAGTCGATAATATAAAGAAAATTAATGAAGAACTGAAAAAAGATCTTAATAATGCTAATAATCTAAATAGTAATATGAAGCAAGAACATGAAAGAATCGAGTCCTTGGACATTGATGCTCTTGCAAAAAAGTAAGCTAAATTATTTATGGACATTAAATTAGATTTGCAAACATAATTTAATTTACCATCATCTTTATTAGTCTTGAAACTAATGATCAAAAAGGCATCCTATCGTGTACCCAATGGGAATTAACTAGACGTCGAATGATGAAATTACTTGAATTTGTGAATATGTTTACTATATATCCTTTATAAATCAATTAAATAACAACAGCGATTACTAATTTAAAATATTTCATTATTATTAGCCAATCAAACAAAATATTGAAGGTGCTGAAAAGTATTTGAATTCATTGGAGAACTTTTTTATTTTTATTGATGCATATATTAAAGCCAAGATCGAAGAAACCGAAAGCTTTGAAGAATTTTTACGAACTAGTTTACAAGCACAAATGTCAAAAAGAAAAAAAGAACGGATCGAGCAAATTATTAAAAAAGAATCAAAGAATTATGACGAAATGAAATTACAATTAGTCGAACATCTTATCAATACTAAATTTTGGATGATGATATACATGGAAAACTATCTTTATGCCTACGAATATTGGTCACTTTCAAAGTCAGAAATAAAACCTTCAATCATTAAAACATTTCAAGAGCTTGAAAAAGATATGAATAAAATTAGAGACGAATTAGAGAGTGTATACAAACTATTTGGATGTGATCCTACTCTTAATTGGTCTTTAATTAAATTTGATGAAGAAAAATATATTGAAGAATTTAAACGTAATCGATCTATTATAATAGAAATTCCATTAGATTGTAAGGAATTATTGGATTATGCACATATACACCTTCATGCATTTAGAGCGTACTTAGAAGGGATTGGATCGGAAAATGATATAATCAAACTTCGTATTAGTAATATAGGCACTTTTTCTAACAGGGATAAAAAAAATCAAATTTATCATTTTATATCAGAACCTATTACAACTAAAGAATTCAAATACAGAGTAAATTCATCCATGAATTCATCTGTTGAATTCGATAAATTTGAAAAATATGTAGATAATGACAACAAATATAAAAATAATGCAAATATTTATTTCGTTCCAACTCCATTTTGTCAATGGAAAATTAGTCTTCATACAGAAAATGACTTGTCTGGATTGAAATCAATTAATATTCATTTGGCAACATATTGTCATTTAATGCATTGAAATGCAGTATATGCCAACTTTAAGTTTCGGATCCTATGAAATATTATCATTTCAATGCTTCATTTAGGAATAACTTCAAACTTCTTTTCAAATGTAAAGGCATAT